AACTTAACTAAAAATAAACAACAGCACTTTTTACAAGGTAAAAAAAGTAGTTCATCAGTACCCACAATCCCCTTCATCCCCTGCAGTGTTATCATTGCCTACCGTCACTCCTGTCCACTGGAGGGCCCTCTTGGTCGCCTGTGTTGGGCTTCACTAATATCACTCCATAACCTTCGTTGTTGTGGATCACATTATTTTCCATGGTGATGGATGGCAGTGTATCAAGTTCATCTGCAAAGTCCTGTAGACACAAGGAAAAAAAAAGTCAAGTTCACTTTAATGATCAAAGTAACATAAAATAATTTGAGAAATTGAAATCAACCAAAAACAGTGAAATTAATCTAAATATTGAAAATAAATGAATGTTAAAACAAAGTTACTTCTCCAAATATTGAAAATAAATGAATGTTAAAAAGCAGCTGCTTCTCTAACCTTGATGAGGATCCCGTCCTTACAGTGATGGACGGCACTACTGATGAGACTGCAAACGCTGCCGGGGTAAATCTCTACCCCTGCCCCCTGCACATCACACACAGCAAACAAATCAATAAAATAAAACATGAACAGTAATTATGGAACAACCTAAGGAGTGAGCAGCGAGTGAAGCTCGACCTCCGGCAGTTACCTTAGATCCATACAGGTCACACATGTTCATGTTCAGGTGGGCCGACGTGCGGACAATAACTCCAGTGGTCTCACACTGCAGCACACAGTTCTCCATGGTCAGTGTTCCCTGACGCACACCTGACACAGTCCAAGAAAAACAAACAAAACAAAACAAAAGATGAAGTAGAAATATCCAGCTCCTGCAGATGACCACCATACACGTCTAGCGGTCGATGCTGTACTTACAAAGAATGCCTTCAATGGCGCCGTGTTGAATAAATTTGATGTTGGACAGTTTGACGTTGGCCCCTGTGCATTCCAAAAACGAGTCACCGTTATTTTTCTTCTCAATCACCACGTCATCAGGAAAACCAAAACCTGCAGAGGACACACGACAACAACCGGGGAATATTTCAGTATCACTCAGTTATACAGTATTTGTATTATATGTTAAAAAACAACTTCGGCTACTGCGCCTTTGATACGCCTGACAGATCAAGATGGAGGCCTTCGTTTTACCTTCTACAGTGACGGAGTCTGGTATGAAGATGGTGCTGTTGACACTGTAAAAGCCTGGTAGAACAATGACCATGTCGTCCTCGTGACACGAGTCCACGGCCGAGACTGGCTCTCTGTGAAACTGGACACAAGACACACGGGTTTAGATGGTTCTTCATACACAGACACAGTTATGTTCAAACTGTAAAAAGTTTTAATTATCACGTCACCAAATAAAAAATGGTTAAGATGAGAAGTCACTCAGGTTATTGGACAGTTGGTCATTTCTGGTAAAATTACACTGCCTGATGTTTAATACTTTACAGGCACCAAATGGACCCAGAGTTTCCCGGTCAATTATGTGTGCTATTTTCTTGCTCAAACTAACCTGGATCTCTGCGTCTCCACTGGAGGACAGAGGCAGGAGTCTGGTAGTGAGCAGAGACTGAAGCTGGGTGGAGCTGCAGGAGGATGTGACGACATGGACCACCTTCACGCCTGACTCTCTCTGGCCACGACTCTGAACACACTGCTGCCTGGCATTTCCTTTGTAGCCTAGCACATACCTGGACAAAAAAACATGACGTAAACAAACACTCAGAGAGGAAATAAAGTCGCTTCAGCTGACATGAGGGTGAGGGCAGAGCAGAGACCAGCTACCTCAACAAGGGGTTCTCGATGATGTGCAGTTTGCGTTTGAATGTCTCCAGCTGGTCGTAGAGCTTCAGACCCTCGACCATGGAGACGTTATCGAGCTCAGAGTCAGAGTCTGTGCTCAGGCCGCTGCGGAGAGCAGTGAAGGCCTGGAAGCACTGAGAGGTTTTCTCCAGCAAAGACTGATACTCTGCCACTAAGCCGGCTGGAACTCTGTCCTCCAGGATGTCATAGTATCTGAAATAAATAAAAATAAAGCACAATTGTAAACAGGAGTCATGAGGATTAAAGGCTTCTTTCTAGAACAAGAACAACAGAGAATCAGAGTGGAGACACTCACAGCCTGAGACGGGGTTCGACACAACGAACAAAGTAGTCAAAGTCATCATCTTCATCTTCATCATCCCACTGCCTCCAGATGTGCTTGTTGAAGAACCTGTAAATAAAAGAAGGGAATTCCTTACAAAGTGTGTGGAGCTCAAAGGTAGACATTATGCAGAGAAACGGCAAAAACTGCATTTGAGTGTAGAATTACAGTTCCTACCTCAGATGCTCCAGAGCCAGGGCAGTCTGATCGAGTTCACCAGACTCGTCAAAGACCACGTGCAGCTCCTGCAGAGAGACCTTGTGCTGGGTGGCCTCCAGCAGAGATTTCATGGAGTCTTCAGTGAGGTCACAGCCTCTGGTGTCACACTGCAGCGGTAGCACCAGCTTCACACACGCCTTCAGATCGTCAAGATCACACACCTGAAACCACCGACACCTCGTCAGCCACAAACACGGACAACGACACGACTGAGAGTGACGAAGTATCGCTTTTCAAAATAAAATTCTTACCTCTACAAGAACATCAAAGACGTTGGTACACCACAAAGCCTGCCAATCACACGGCTCCACCACCTTCTTTAGGTAGTCTGCTACAAAGTCCTTAACCTCAGATGGTTTACAGTCTCCTACAACCAAATAAAAAAACAAACAAACAATAATTAAAAATTAGTATCGCTACGGTTGTGTGCTTGAGTCACAATTCATGGCTGAAGGTGTGTCAGCTAGTACCCAGCATGTAGTCCTGATACGCCTTGAACCTCTCATAGTAGAGCAAGTGGCTGGTCTGAAAGGTGTCAGGCAGAGCTGAGGCTCCTCCACCACTGCGTTCACATCTCTGCAGCTGAGTCCCTGATTTTTCACAGTGAAAGTTGTCTGTGCCACTGTCATCGTCATCAGTGTCTTCATCGTCCTCACTTTCATACTCATCCTCCGGTTCATTCTGGAAGAGAGCTATTGCAGAACAGAATTTAGAAAAGACTTTTACAAGAAAATGCTATATATATCTATAAACATAGTAAACATAGTGCCACCTATTGGGCATTTTCGAACCACTTGTAGAATAGTGCGGTACAGGGAAAATAAAGCAGAGGGCAGTATTGCTGCAGATAATTATTTGATATTCGATATGCTTTTAGGATAATTAAGAACTGCTGTTTAAAGGTATTTTATTACAAAAAATTGCAAAAAACACACTTTTTAAAAATGTAATCTCTCGTCACGGTATTGCAGTCAGTAGATCCTTTAGGTTAAAACTGGACGAGTTCTGCTGCGACATGGAACCACGCCGTGTATGTTCTTAGACGCAGCAAACACATTTTTGTGGTCCTACCTTGTGTCACGACGGGAACGTCGTTGTTGTTATTGTCCTCTTCTTCGAATTCGACGTTTACGAACGACGACAAATCCGCCACTTGTACGTCAGACATGGCGTTTGTTCACGACGCTTTTCGCCCAAAAGTGGCAAATTCGTTCGACTCCTTCTAAGCGATAATGTCAATAAAATTGTGTTCTTAGGCTCTTGTTAAAGGCACTATAAACGGTAAATTACCGACATTACAGATTCGAACCAGTTTGTCATATACACACAAACGGAAAAGTCGCACACACCCTGTTACCAATAACTTTCAAACTGTTCCCGGTCTGCTCAGCTGTGGCCAATAACCACACAGAAAGGGCCCAATATCCCGCCTCCTTGATGATGGGGCGCTTTTTAACCAATCAGATCTCAGCTGGTCTCTATTGCGTCAACACGTAGCTTCGCGTCACGAAACGAGAGGAAAGGGAATAAAGTGTTCAGAATTTTATTATTGTATCATATTTTTGATCATTATCATTTGTGGGCTTCCTTTGTGTTTAACGGGTTATATGTTTACCAACATGTAACCCGTTAAACACACTTTTTTACAATATGTAAAATACGTTTCGAACAAACTAAATTAAACAAATTAAACAAACTAATTAAATTAGCAGGCGTTTGACGCCAAAGGGAACACTCGACTTCGACTCAAATTTAGAAAATAACCTTTAAAACAGGGCAAGGCCCCGACATTCTAAAAACGGATCCAAAGTTTAAAATTATGTGCAAATGAGTGGGAACACAATATGCATTTTATCCAATGAAACTCCAGGTATAATACTTATACTGGGCAACAAAAAATTAACATAAAAAAACTGTTACACCATGTGACGAATGGGGATTACCTCTGGACATACCTCGCCTCAACTTTAACCTAAAAAAATAGTTGTACATCTATGCAAACACCTGGGACCATAAAACCAAACCTGTGCAGGTTTTATGCACTGTGACTAAACGGCAGCACAAAGTCCAAGGCCTTATTAATGAGGTTTGGTACAGTGCTGTCCCTGTGCTGTGAGGAGATAAATGAACAGACATGACCATATGAGCCCATATCACCTGGCCACGCAAAGCTTCCTCTATAACTGCACTGAACATTGTGACCACCATCTGGTCAAATTCTGTTAAAATGCAGAGTACAAAATGCAAACTAAACATGCAAACTGAAACAAATGAGAGAAGCCCTTTAAAGCTGATCTTTTTTGTAACATCCATAAATTTAAAGGTGTACATATATATATATATATATATATATACATATATAAACATAATTTCACCAATAGCATCCAAATGTTAATTGCTGTTCTTTTTAAATGAATTAATTATATAAAAAATAATTATTATTTACCGACATTATGAAACGTTTCCTGTTTATGGATATATTATTATGAGCATCGAATTAGTATTTTATTTTATTTTGTGTTTTTGTACAGTAGTTACAATCATAATATATCGAACACACATTTACCTACTGACCTACTGGAAGTACTAGCACTACTTTCTGTACTAGTACTACCACTACTGAAACGACTACGACCAGTAGTACTCCCAATATCACTAAAACAACAACAACAAAAACAACAACAACAACAACAATAAAACAATGACAATTCCTTTATCTTACTGTATATTTAAATTTAAAAACAATAACGCCACATTAGTTTTGTTAACATATGTAAAGTCTCGGTGAACGATGACGTCAGCAGCGTTACCTGCAGTGCTCACCTGTAAATATGCGGAAGTGGCCGTTCAAGGAGTCAAGTGTTCAATATGGAATAGTTGGCGTTGAGCGGAGCGGGTTTGGTGATGAAAACGTAACGTCCATGACACGAAGACAGAACCACTGAGGACCTGTCCTGCGTCTGCCATCACTGCGGGCACCGGTTGTTTTGACTCCCCTGACTGAAGCGTGAATGAACCAGAAAAAGTGAGACGCGGCGTCCGAAAAGAAATGAAGTGCTTCGGAACCACTAAGGTACGGTCTGACACACCGTCTCTGTCTCACACACACACAAATACACAAATGCACACGTACTGTATATGCACATTTATCTGTTGTTTATTTCAGGGACATATTGTCCATTATGCTCCACAGAGTTTATGAGACATAAATAAAAGTGACAGCGAGACGTTCACACGTGACAAGACCAAACATGTACGGCAGCAGTTAACTGGCTGCGTGCGGAGGAAATAGTTTTTAAAACTCAACTTAAAATAAAAAAAATAAAATAAAATGACTAATTAAACACCCCCTCTTATTCTTATGGAGAACGTATCAAAAGCAAAAACACTACAATTTCGTATTGAAATGTCACAAAGAACAAGTGAAGAAAAAGCTAGAATCCGTAATTTGGTGAAGAATCTGAGCTTCAATCAATTAAGCCAAACCGCAAATAAGTGTTTTTGAAGCTCTCCTTGTCAAACAAAACCTTTGACAAACATCAACAAATTTAGATTATGCGACCTGTAGCAAGTTCCAAAACATTTTATGCCAGATGCACGAGTGAGTGAGCTTGAAGTAAAGTTGAGTTCTTTCACTGTAAGTTTTTTTTTTAAATGTTATCAAGTGTATGATTAAAAACAACTTTAAAATCATACTTTGTCCTAAAGTTTTAAATGCTGCACAATAACACGTTTATCATCTGACAACTTTTATTGGAATAAGTTCCGTTGTATGGCTGTAACGTAATGTTTTATTGCTGTTTATTGTATTGTTTGTTGCTCTTTATGAGGAAGGCTGTGTCTTCCTCCTCTGCTCCCGTTGAATTAGTTATTTGTTATTTACCCCAGGAGTTTTTCAGTTCCAGTTTCTCTGTTTACACCAGGTTCTCCTGCATGGGTTTCGTGTGAATATTCATTATTTGTTATTTACCCCAGGAGTTTTTCTGTTCCAATCTCTCTGTTTACACACAATGTGTCCTAAAATTTAACTGAGACAACAAATACAACTTTTGTGTGGACATAAGGATAAGTGGATCAACTGCAAATGTTTATCCAGACAAACTGCTAACCCTCTGCTGTGGTCAAGTTCGTTTTAAAAAAAATAATTTTTAGCTATTCACTAACCCACAATGGGTCCTAAAATTTAACGGGGGGCCGGGTCAGGAGCAGGTAGATGGAGTGTTTGTATGAACGAAGACAAATGACATGTAAAAGTCAGTCAGTAAAGGTTAAAATGCTAAATTGCTTTTAGCCCTTTCTACACCATCTGTTGTCGAAATGCAGGCATTGCAGGGCAAAGGCAGAAATGTATTGAAAATAAAAATTAATAACATAATTTGAACAAGATCGGTGGGCCAGATTAAAAAGCCAAGCGTGCCGTGTCCGGCCCCCGGGCCGTAGTTTGCCCATGCCTGCTCTAACCTGTTTGCAGTGTCCTGTGTAGTGCTACAGTTGTGCACTACTAGTCACCTGTGTCAATCTTCAAATGACTTCATGTTTGCAGGGCACGAGTGCTGCAGGTTGACTCATCATTATTTCAGTGAAGATGAATAAGGAGAAGTTGAGAAGTAGCCGACAGGCGTTGGTGATTACCTGTTTTTGTCACATCTTGACCTCTAGTTGTTAAGGTTTCATTTACTTATATTGAAACAATGTCAGTGAATTATTACTTATATTGAAACAATGTCAGTGAAAGTCTAAAACTCCATTCTTTTGTTTAAACACACCCTATCAAACTGCCTCCTGCTTCTCAATAATCCAGCGGTGAGAGGTTTCTCAACCCTAGGCTACCCCCGTGTGCAGGTCTGATCTCTCGTACTGAGAGTCATCTCTGAGCTAGAGCTACAACAAAAGCTTCCGGGAAAAACTGGGACCGAGCAGGTCAGATGTGAAACCTGTTCCATCATCGGTCACGCCCATGTTGAAGGTTCACTGCAGTATCTGCTGTAACTGCCATGGATGCACTTCAATATCTCTGGCCCAGAATAGAAACTTGTCTTATCTCTTGACTCATCTAACAGACCGGAGAATGTAGCAGCAAAGAGCCGCCGACCGTAAAAGTCTGTAGGTCACAACACGAGACAAGATCAGCATTAAACCGATGACGAGCCCTGTAGCTGTGTTTGGGCAGGTTTGGACCTGCCCAGAAAACACAAACACAGCGTCACATGTGTCACAGCTGGGCTGAATGAAAGAATGTTAAAGGTGCAGTGTGAACATTCACAGTGAAATCAATTTAAATGTTCCCCCACAGCTAAGTTTAACACAACCGGTGCGTGAGTGAGTGTAATCAAAACAATGATGTTGTGTCAACTACTGCCCTCTGGTGGGCATTGGACGATATATGCCAGCATTACCAGATTTAAGAAAAACCTTTTCAGCACAACAGAGCAATAAAACATTAAAAGTGCAACATGGTTAAAACAACTGTGCAATAATCCAGTTGTTTTTTTTATACATTTTACATTTTTATTTTCCTTCCTTCCTTCCTTCCTTTCTATTGTTTGTCTCACCACATTAATGATGGTAACTGCTGTGTATCTGTGTGTTAAAGGAAGAGTATGAGCTGTGCGAGAAACAGAACGATGAAACAATGGAGTATTTACTACCAACCACGGTAAGAGTTCACTTGTTTTCTCTCGTCCAAATTCTATTTTGTCCAAACCTGTTTTTCCAGGTCAATTACTTATAAAGAAAATGTACAGAAGTGAAGAAACGAAAGAAGTCACACACACACACATTCACACACACACACGTGCTCAGCGTGTTGTTACACCTGACGACGGTGTTGTTGTTTGAACAGTCGACACGCCGGACATTCGACTACATACTGGTGGCCGACAAGTTGGACGATGACGACGCTGACCAGAAGGGACAGAGACAGAAAGCCTTCCTCCACGAGCTGGAGAGGAAACATATTTCCATCGTCGTGAGTCTGTGTGACCTTAACAAGCCATAACAAGTATTTCATCATATATTGATCGTCATATATTTAGTACGTGCGCCTGAGTTGTTTCCCTGTGTGTTTGGTTTTTAGAAGATCATGCACGATGACAAGGTCTTCTTCGGCCTGCGCGCTCCCAAAGAGATTTTTGAAGACTATCAGTATCTTCTCAAAGTCTCCGACTCCTGTAACTGGTGTGGAGAAGCCAAGGGCTGCGTCTCACAGGCCACCAGGTGAGAACATCCCACTGTAGAACGTACTGCAGACGAGGAGAACAGGGAGTAGAGAGAGGAAGAACCCACAGTCAGAGAAGAGGGAAAAATGTCAAATTTCTATTAATTATTTCACTCTATCACAGGTCGTTGTGGTATATGTAAAATTTAAAATTTACTGAAAACATAATTTGAACATGTTTGGTGGGCCAGATTAAAAAGCCAAACGGGCCGTGTCCGGCCCCCGGGCCGTAGTTTGCACATGCCTACTCTAAACTGTTTGCATTGTCCTGCTGCACTGGAAAAAAAAACTGTACGCACGGATAAACGAGATTTGTGAAAGTTTTGGTTTTTTTTGGCCATATTTCACACCTTACGATGCCTCCTACAGGGTTTGTAAAGGGTTAATATATAAGTAAATAATCATTACTCTGTGATAACTGTCTCTACTTTGTGTTTTTTTTGCCTATCGTGGGCGGTCTCAGAACGTAACCCCCACAATACGCGAGGGACCGCTGTACTACAGTCTGTCGTACCTTGTGTATTTTGTATATTTTTCTAATGTTCATCGTTTTTCCAGGATACGAATTATCAACTTTATTCTCTATCATACATTCATCAACACTGGGGGTGAGTCTGATGTGACCTGACCCTTGACCTTTGCTCTTTCATGGTCTTTTACACCACAGTGAATGAACAGATTACGTTTTTGTTTTTAAATCCAACAGAGGATCTTGAAGAACTGATGATGAAAGGCGTTTTTGAAACCGTATTCTGCCTCCATGAAGTAAGTCAAACTGTGACCGACAAAATATTTTCTCAAGGGGTTTGGATTTGAAATGAAGTACATTTATGCGTTTTTTTATTTTCCTCAGAGAAAGAAGCAGAAACAGCTGAGGAAGAACTGGGCTCGATGGTCGGGTCTGTTTACTGGACAACCAGTTAATGATGTCAAGTCAGTACCTTTATCACCGTAGCTCTGATCACCTTTAAGATCTTCATGCCGTTCTTCCACTACGGCATGTTAATACTGCATAAAACCTTAGCTATGTTAGTGTATTTTCCCATGCTAAGAAAAACAAGTATTAGTATTAAAGTAAGTACAAGTATAAAAATTTGTAAAAATGTGTATATGTATGTATGTATATATGTGCATATATGTATGTATGTATGTATATGTGTATATATGTATATATGTATATATTTTACAAATATATTCTCCATCAGTTCCTTTGCCTAAAAACTGTCATATTTACATTTTCTGATGTCTGTCTGCAGATCATACTTTGGAGAGAAGGTGGCGCTGTACTACCTGTGGCTGGGCTGGTACACCATGATGCTGGTCCCAGCTGCTGCTCTGGGCCTCGTAGTCTTCCTGTACGGACTTGCCTTTTTCAACACAAACCCACTGATGTGAGTCAGACCTGTGGAAGCCATTATTTATGACACACTGATAGAAGAAGTTTGGTGGTAATGACAGTAGAACAAGTACTTTGTCTACCTGACGAGTGGGCGGTTTCTGTCAGCTGACATCAAGGGTTGGTGAAAGGCAGCGACTGAAAGAAGCTGCTGAGTCATTTAAAACAGAACACACAAAAAAAGATGTTTATCTTTATATTAAAGGGTCAGTTCCAGTTTTTTGTTGTACACCTACATCTACATTAGCCAACATTGGTGTCATGTGTCCAAGGCCTTTGTGTCAGCAGCTATGATATTCATGGCTCCATCCACTGACGTTGTGTGTTTATGTGTGTGTGTGTCCACAGTAAGGAAGTGTGTAACTCCAGCACTATCATGTGTCCTCGCTGTGACAACAGGTGTACAGTGTGGAAGCTCTCAGACACCTGCTCCTACGCCAAGGTGAACTAACCTTCTGACCTACGCTTGTTGATGGATGGACACTTTATCAGTGACATCTCTCTCTCTCTCCCTCTCTCTTCCTCTCTCTCTCTCGATGCCTTTTGATTTTGGTTTGTGTTGATATGAGCAGGTCAGCCACCTCTTTGATAACGAGGGCACCGTGGCCTTCGCTATGTTCATGGCCATTTGGGGTGAGTTCACCGACTGCATCTGAATTTTAAGGGCACAGAGTTGTTGATGAAGTTATTACAAAAATATAATATATTTGACAGCTTGTGCTTCACGTGACATTGTACTTGTTACATTGTACTTGTTACTGTGTTTGGTTTTTCAGCTACTCTATTCTTGGAGCTGTGGAAGAGGCACAGAGCCAAACATGTGTCTCAGTGGAAAGTGTACGACTGGTGTGAAGAAGAGGTCGATATTTTTATTTTGTTTTGTTTTCTTGATGTAATCTATAATTTGAATGTGAATTGATTTAGTCGCCAGCGATCTTACCGTGCATATATATTCATTTGCGAAAAGAAGTGCTTTGGTTTTATATATGTATGTATATATGTGTGTATATATATATATATATATATATATATACATATACATATATATATATATATACATATATTCATATATATGTGTATATATATGTATATATGTATATATATATATATATATATATATATACATATACATATATATATATATATACATATATTCATATATATGTGTATATATATGTATATATATATATACATATATATATTAATATTGGTCTCCTTTAATGCGTGTGTTAAACAGGAGGAGCTGATCTTGGCCATCGTCAGCAATCCACACTGTAGTCCCAAACAATTCAGACACTCCTACCTACGGACCACCCTGGTCCTCATCCTGGTAACACTGATGGTAAAGTAACTCCCACTACAGTTTGAATTAAACTCTATTTAGATTGATTTTGTTTAAGATGATTACACATGACTTTTTTTTTTTTTCCCGTGTTCCAGCTGATGATCATCATTGGTCTGGCTCACGCTCTGGTGGTGTTTAGAGTCGTGGCGGCTGCTCTGTTGTCCGAGGGCAACTGGGAGTTTGTCAGAGACCACGCCTCCTCTGTGGCCATGCTGCTGGGGGCTGTGCTGCATTACATCACTATTCAGGTCATGACACGGGTACGTTTCTACAACACTGTCGGGATAGGATCCATCAGGATTTATCAGGATTCATCCTGGAGGTTTATAGTTTTAGTCCGACTTATCACAGGGTACACATAGATTAATTAATTAATCATGATTTTAACGTTACATATGGAAGTTTCTAAATATGTGAAAAATCTAATTTTCTTTATATTGCTTTGGGGAAGCCTTCGTCGTTAAGATTAATAATCCTAATATCTAGTAAAATAAAAATAATTTGCTTTTTAGGATGGGTTTAAATTTATTAAAACATATGCTCATGAATGTGTAACATAAACTAACATACCAGTCCAGCCTGCTCGTGTTGCAAAATCTCAGATCTGCCGAGTGTCGTCTTCAGAGTTCCGTCTGAGTTTACAGGAGACTGCGTGAAACCTTCCACCGCAGTCTGTTGTTTTAGAGTTTGTTGTGTCATAAATCAGGTGTCGCTCCATCCTTCAGATTACTTGGAAGTGTCATTATCTGAAAGAGGTCATGATTCAACTAAAAAGCGAAGAACCTGTTTGTCTTGTGATCAACGCTCCAGCGATGTCATTAATCTCTCTTCCTGTTTTCACCACCCTAAGGTAAACAGATGGGTCGCCCTCAAGCTGTGTAACATCGGTGAGAGCCGTTCTGACGTTCCTGTGTTCACGCTCTCATAGTACAAATAAACAAAAAGAAATTGTCACTCACTTGTTATTCCCGCCGTCTCCGTCCTGTGTGTTTGAATGTCCAGAGAAGACAAACTCCTTTGCTGCCACAGAGAGAAGCTTCACAGTGAAGATGTTCACCTTCCAGTTCTTCACTCTCTTCTCCTCACTCTTCTACGTGGCCTTCTTCCTTGGCAGGTACTCCACCTGATTTAAAGAAAAGACTGGAAGTTAACACTGTATCAGGTCACATGTTCTGTTCGGTGTCACACATTCAGCTGAAGGTGCCTGGTTGTCTGAGTTGAACAGGAAAAAAAATGTAACCGAAAAAATATGAAAAGAATTCTACATACCTCCTGTGATACCCTTGCACACCACTAGGGGGTCCAACTTCACCTGGTTGGGAAAAAAAACAAAGGATTTTATATAACTTTTTTTATCCTGCAGAATAAATGGCCATCCTGGAAGTTATGTCCGCATCGCTCGCTGGAGGCTGGAGGAGGTGAGGAGGTGTCAGTCACGTCCGTGTTCTAGTCACATTCCCGTAGCCTCGTTCTGACTCTCCGCTGGGTTCTTTGTCCTCCAGTGCCATCCCAGCGGTTGTTTGACGGACCTTTTCATCCAGATGGCTGTCATCATGGTGCTGAAACAGACGCTCAACAACATCTTTGAGTTCACTGTGCCGTGAGTGGCTCTTTGTTTACTATCACGATTAATTGAGATTATTTAAAAAAAAAAAATCAAACCAACCAACAAAAAAAAAAAAATCAGGATTTTCTGTATGCCTTGATCTTCTTATAAACTGATACGAGTTCATGTACATTCGTGTACTCGTCGATACTGAATACTGTGAGTTTTATTGAAAAACCACCATAGAGTCTCAGTTCAATGGATCAGCATGTGAATGAACGCTGTTGCCACCGTGTGTTTCCTCAGGTGGCTGAAGCAGTGCATGAGCCGAAACAAAGTGAAGAAGCTGCAGAGAAAGTGTGGCTACTGTTACAGGAAAGCCTGTCGTAATGAACAGGAGGGAGTCGACCCCTGTGACATCTGCAAACTCCGTGACTGGCTACGAAACTATCACCTGGCCGACTCCAACGCCTTCAGCCTTTTCAACGAGTTCCTGGAAATGGGTAAGTCTGAGGTGTGACTGAAGGTGGCGTGTTCATCATCAGTCCACAGGAGGCGTGTGAACATGGCGAGTCAAACGCAGGTTCTACATGTTTGGCTCAATACATTTTGATGTAGGTTTTGTCTATTTTTTTTCTGTGCCAAATGTAGCTTCTGACAGAATGTTGATAACTTGAAAAGAAAGAAAGAAAGAAGAAATATTGAAGACCATGCTCTTTGTCATATGACAGTGCATGTGCTGTAATAAAATATGATGCATTTACCAGATTGAATTACATGCGGATAATTACACATTCAAGGCAGGTAACAAAAGCCAAAATTTGTAGTTGCACAGTTTAGCCCCAGGGTTGGATCTTCACATCTGTAGACTCTGAGACCGTGACGTTGAAGAGAATGTGTTATTGAAATGTCCCAGTTAAAAACCCGTGGTGTGTGTGTGTGTACCTCAGTGATCCAGTTCAGTTTCACCACCATATTTGTGGCTGCGTTCCCTCTGGCTCCTATGCTGGCTCTGCTCAACAACATCATCGAGATCCGCCTGGACGCCATCAAGATGGTACGGCTAGAGCGCCGGCTGGTTCCCAGGAAGACCAACGACATTGGTGAGTTGTTCCTGTGTCATGTTGTGTAAAAAAAAAAAAAGAAGACGATTAGAAGGAGAACGATTGAGAAGAATGTCAGGGATGATGTGTAACAAATATTTGACTTTGACTGAAAAAAAAACAAAAACAAAACGAACACAATTTGTCATTAATCTCAATTAATCATGATTGAGATTATTGTGATTAATCATGATTATTTGAGATTAGTCATGATTAATTGAGATTCCTCAAAAAATCAAACAAACTGTACGCCTTAATCTTGTAAATGAAAGCTGAGAACATGTGACACCGATACCTTGATGCCCTCATCTGTCAATTAATCATGATTAATTGAGATGAATCATTGTTTTGAACATCGACGTCTAATCTGAGGGTTGGAGATCTGTGTCTGAATTCCCATCTCCTCTGTGCAGGTGTGTGGACTCAGGTATTGGAGGCCATCGGGGTGTTGGCGGTGATCGCTAACGGTCTGGTGATCGGCGTGTCCTCAGACTTTGTCCCGCGCCTCGTCTATCGCTACCGTTATGGACCTTGTGCTACTGGAGGCAGCAACACACAGTCAGTAAAAAACAGAGGCTGTGAGAAGAAGTCGTGTCACCTCAGCTGAGTGAAGTCTCCTGTTGTGACACAGGCGTTTATGTTTTTTTTTTGTCTCCCCTTTCGCAGCTGCATGCAAGGCTACATCAATGACACCCTGTCCACAGCCTTCATGGGTCACCCTGCGGTGCAAAATGACTTCATACCGAAACAGATGATCACAGAGAGCGGCTTCAACGCCACAGAGTGCAGGTGAGACCTCGTCTGACAGGAACGGTTTACAGAGTGCAGGTGAGACCTCGTCTGACTGGAACGGTCACTCAGAGACATAGAGTACGGTCCTGACTGTCCCCCTACTGCCCACACAGCTACAGAGACTACAGGAGTGACGAGGACTACAAACTGACCGCTCAGTTCTGGGTGGTAATGGCCGTGCGCTTTGCCTTCGTTATCCTGTTTGAGGTTTGTTCAGGATGTGTTTGTCTCTCCGGGGCCACAGGCTTCTGTGTCAGTCCTAGTAAATACTGTAACACAGAAGTATTCTGGTTAAAAAAATGTACAAAATTCAAAGTCCTGAAAAATTAGAAACTCACTGTATGTGTTTTTTTGCAGCACGTTGTCGTGGTGTGTAAGTTCATAGCGGCGTGGTTCGTCCCCAACAGTCCAATGAAGGTGAAGAACGATAGACTGCACGACAAAATGGCTCGACTAAAGGAGGAGCTCCGGTAAGTCAGCAGAAATGAAGGTCCTTCAGCAGTCCTAAACCTCGAGTCCAAGATACGTTTCAAGTGTCTTTAGAGGGCGAGTCCTAGGTCAAGTCCTAGGTTTTGCCACTCAAGTGCAACTCGAGTGCTAGCCTCAGATTTGAGGAAACTGCCGCTAGCTTCGCAAATAAAGAATAAAGCATCTCAGAGATGAAGAGGAGTCATGATGATGATGACGATGATGTTTTCTTGTTCCGTCTTCTTTCAGTGACATCAAACGCAGCATATCAACAGATGTTTGAATCTTCCACAGTCACGTGCAGCTGTGAGTCCAATCACAATGTGAATTCAGAAGAACCGTCTTCGTTTTACAGTTTATCCTGTCTGCTGGTTGAGAGCACTGGACTCCACTATAACGCNNCGCCCCCTTATGGTTGATTGTAGTTCTTGTCGCCTGCTGAAATGTGACCATTCAGCCATTTTTTTTAATATAATGTGTACATAAATGTAATTTACTTTATGTTTTTTATAATTATTCCAAGATGGCCGACTGACTTGGCTGTACTGTAAGTTTACCCGTTTACTCACCAATGTATATGACATTTCATATCAATATTACTTACTTTACGATCTAAACAAACATGGAAAAACATTCTCAACATCTGCGTCTACAGTTGTGAGTCCACTGTAAAAAAATCACATTTCCAGAAAGATTGGAACACTTCTTGAGGACAGAGACAAATAAATGATGTCATTTGGTAATGTCCTCCATCAGAGACGATGGTATCTTATTGGCTAGACACAGTTGAGGTCTCAGTGACCAGTTTTTTCTGGAAATGTCACTGAATGAACTCACCTGCAGACTCAGATTTACTACAGTGGATTGTGCTGCGCCACCTACTGGTGTTACTGACCCTTTGAACCTCGTCAATAACCGCCAATGATTTACATACCGGATCCTTTTAAAGTCAATAAAAAATATTTATTAGGACTCTGGCATCTCTTTGATGGTGACAGTCAGTGTCTGTTGACTTTGTCCATTATATTGTAAATCTCAAGAGCTGTTTTTGTTTGGTTTGTTTTGTTAGCTTAAGTTTGTTGCTTGTTATTTCCGTACACTACAAAAAAACATGGTTGGAACAACAGCTGCAGTGAGAGTGAAGAGGAGAAATGGGTTTACTATGAGCTCTTGGCCACCAGGTGGCAACACTAATGCAAAAAATGTAAATATAAAGGCCTTGTGTAAAAAAAGTTAAAACTAACAAAATAAAAAAAAGAAAATTAAATTGTACAACTTCTTTAATCTTTTATCGTCAATTAATAATAATTTCAGGAATTTTTTTTTTTCAAATTTAAAACGGTCGTTGCTGTTACGATATTTTGAGCAAATTGAAATTTAGAATATCATATTTTATTACAAATAAAAATACATTCACTTTGAGGACTTTTTCTAATGTGGAATATCCTCAAATCAAAAAAAAAGATAAATGTGAAAGAAAAGTCAGGTCAGACCTTTAACACTGATGTCCTTCATTGTCTTAATTAAAATAACTGTTTGAATTGTATATTTTTCATTAAAAAACTCTTCACAAAAGAACATTGAAAATAGTTTTGATAATTATGTAGTGTTCTGAAAGTTAGGATAAGGAAATGTGACCCAACACCAGCCCAGCAGGTCAAATAGAAACACCTTTTAAACGTGGCACCACCGTGTGTCCAAGTGAAGAATCAACAGAAACTTTACCTGTTTTTCAACGCTGTAAAATCCACACCACATCGTCACGTACACATCTGCAGATCAGGACACACACACATACACACATGGTCAACATATAAATGGGGCTGAATCTTTGTTTGTTTTTTATTTTAAACAATATATTATTTTACAACATCTATAAAACACACCTTTTGCATAAATTATGCTACGGAACAAAAACCTCCAATAAAAACACAGGACAGAGCAGTCAACTCTCCTCACCTGAACATTAGAGAACGTGAACACTGAGAAAAGAAACTCAGGCGACTGGAAAGGCAAACAGAGGTAAAGTGTTTTAGTGTCATCGACCAGTCAGTCACAGGAACAGGAAACGATTTAAAACAGGCTCATCTTTCACTCAGGCCAATTAAAAACACTGGAAACGACAAAGGTTTCCAGTCACAACGTGTTGAAACATTTACTCTGCAGAGTCAAAACTGGTTTTTATCCTCTCAGGCAACGTGAAGGTTTAAGAACCTCACTCAAAAAGTCAAAGTTGACTTTACAGGAATGTAAACCTAAGTTAGGACAGAGGAAAGGTCACCACTGGGTCAACCTGAACATTTCCAGTGTGATTCTGCAGTGTGAACGCCCGATGATGCGTCAGACATTTTCAGTAGCAGACAGATCTGGACTGCAGGCAGGACAGACCGCCACGCAGCTCTGTTGATTTCAAGGAGAATTTTTTATTGTACCCTGGCTCTGTTGATTTCAAGGAGAATATTTTATTGTACCCTAAGGGTCAAAGGTCAAACTGATTTAACCGGGGGTTTCCTCCCTTTGTTCGACTGAAAATTTTCCTGGACTCCCTAAATCTTTTCACAACTACTTAACTCTAGATGGCGACAAACTGAGCCAGCGGTAGATTCTCCTTGAAAACCTGGTCTTGAGAACAAATTCAATCTTGTGAAAAACCATTTTCAAACCTCATCAAACTCTGTGGGCCACAGACACAGTAGATGCTAATTGCTGTCAACCTGTAATTGCACACTTTGCTGAGGTGAATGTAATATCCACAAAAGGGGGCGCTGTAGAAGAAGTTTGGGGAAAAACGTTTTCTTCATTGGTTTTTCTAAAAATAATCTTCTACAGATAACAACATGACCGAGTATCATGCAAACATGGTGAACACTGACGCATTAGTGAGCTAACAGTAACCACCGTGTACATCTCAGTTACATTCACCTCTGGAAAAAAAAAGAAGAAAAAGGTCAGATAAAAATGTGGTCTATAGACTACACATCACCGAGGAGTCTGTGCTTTGATGAGGTCCAAGTCCAATAATACAGTCCATTCTATTCTTAAATGGTGGTAACAACAGACAAACTGTTTACAAAATACACAAGAGACAAAATGTGGTGAATAATGAACGATAAATCCAGCGGTAGCAAAACAGTGACTTCACTATTTCAGCTCCTTAGGACAGTATTTGTTCTAGTTTCAAGAGCATTTCAGATTATTTCTATTTCGATCAAATATTTTATGGCATTAAATTCATGTTGATTTTAAAAAAACATTGTTTCAACAGTTTGAGCGACTGTTGACATTCTACAGGATCTGTGTAGAGAATCTTAAACTCACAGAAAATTAAAAAAGAACTTAACGTCTACTGATGATTCTACAGTAGACGTTTTACAAACACTGGTCCTGAATGTTGGACCATGAGACGGCGTGAGGACTGTCTGAGGAACTGAGAGCCGTTTGTGCTGAAAGTTCTTTGCGTTAGAATCGCTGCTTCATTGTGCTTTAACAGAAACTCAGCGGTGTGTTGATACTTTCACCCAGATCCAACTGAAACTCCAAATGATCCTGAAGTCACGTTCCATATTCATGTAAACATAGACGCGTTACTGTAAAACAGGACCAAACTAACAAACCTAAACCTGTTACACTCTCCTGACATACTGTAACTGAAGGCATCGACTAATACAGGAGTTAGAAATTAATACAAAAAAATAAAATAAAGGCATCGACTAATACAGGAGTTAGAAAGTAATAAAAAAAAAAAAAACATTTCTTACTCTTAACATTTTTTGTTTAGATCAACACTAAATATAAGTGTTTTAAAGTGTGAACAACACCGACAGTGAGAGGAGTGGAGCTCACCTCTAGTGTTAGCACAGACAACACGTGACAACGAGTCAACGGTTGTTCGGCTACGGTGTAATTTAGAGCAGTGATTCCCAACCATTGTGCTGTGGTTTATGAAAATTCTTTCCACTAGGTGGCAGCAGATAAATAAAAAAAGAGAGACCCAGCTGTAAAAAAAAATCGCTGTGTCTTTCTTCAATTCCTGCATGTGTTCAACTAAACAGGCCCAGGTTTGAATATGTGTACACTGAATCCAGAAGATCATTAGATTTCAGTTCTGTTTGATTTTATACTATGTTACGCACATTTTTATTAGCATTCGATGTTGGTGAAGTCTGTACAGTTTTTGCTCAGTAAAGTAAAAGTAAATCTAATAATGTTTTTCTTTTATTTCTGGAAACCTCATCCTGACCAGTATTTAACCTGATGTTCAATTTGAAGCTCATTTCGTGTCTTTCCTAAAATACAAAGTGGTGACAATGAATTCAATGTGACAAGTTAGGTGTCTACAATTTGGACTTAAACTATATATGTTTATATACCCGATAAAACAGTGATTCTAACCCCATAGTGAGTGACACACAAAGTGCAAAGGCTGAGTAAGTGTTCAATTATGAAAACATAAAAATACACAACAAAAATGTGCATGAAAAAAAAAAAGAGATTCTAAAGCTTCAGTGCAAAACAGACGACAGTTCAAAAAGCACTTTGCTGAGGTGACGGTGAGACGGGAGCCTCCGTCCAGTACAGTGCTAACACACACACACACACACACACTGAGACCACAGACTTTGACAGTCCTCATAATAAGAGCACAGCAGGAAAAACAGTCGTTCCGCGGAGGACGAGGAGCGGCTGCTGAGACAAACACGTTACAAATACACGGGCGGCATCACTTCACCGGAATGTGATTCTGTTCCTCGCTTGGACTCCTTGTCTGTCCCTGTCCAAGTCTGTAGTAAACTACTACTACTGCGTCTCTGCGAGGTAAGAACGAACAGTCGACACTGTTAGGACGTGAAATAACAACAGAATAAATAACGACGACGACGGCGTTGGCTTCAGTAGTTTGGTTTTTCACATTGACAATAAACACCTCAGATCTGGGACCAGAGCAACAAGTAAGAGTAAACTTTCTCCAGCATGTTTGTGACCGAAGCTTTGGGAACGTGAATGGACGACTACGGTGGGGGACGGAGTAGATCTGGGGTCTCAAACTCATAATAAACCACTGTAATCCCATCATCTCATTTTAGGACCACATGTCTGAGTATATTAAAAAAAAAAACAAAAAAAAACATGTCCCATCATCTCATTTTAGGACCACATGACTGAGTATATTTCTAGAAAAAAAAACACAGTTTAATTTTATATACTGTATAATGGAAACAGAGTTATTTTTGTCATTTTCTCACCTTTTTTTAAACTCTCACAGACTTTGTTTTTTAGATTGTTACATAATTTCAATTCTTTTTTTTAATCTGTAGCGTCTTCCTGTTCTGTTCTACTCCAAACTCACTGCACATCTGAATCCTTGATCATTTTGTTTGAAATCTGCAGCCATTTGTCTGCTTTCTAAGCCAGGGAGTCCCAAAGTGAGGGGCAGCACCCATCTAGGGGGCGCTTAGATATCATTTGGGGGACATTTAAATGTCAATGTTATTCATTTGTCCCACAGTGAACACATTTAAGTTTCATTTGTTCTAACATTGGGTGCTCTACGGTAGGCCTATCTACCAAAAGCAGGAACTGCAGAAACGGTTTGGGAACTACTCATATTAGTTAAGTGACATACACTAGTAGCAAAAAGATTCAAAGACACAAAGTGCATAAACCCAAAATGGCGTCTGCCAACCCAGCCAATCAGAGCCCTGGAGGAGCCGAGGCTGAAATCGCAGTAAAGCGGAGGTTCATCGGTGAGAAAAAAAAATTAAAAAGAGAAACGCAACATCGAAAAAAGTTCAGGGAGAAAATCTCTGGTATTAACGATGACGTTTATGGTCCAGTGTGTGACATTCTCGTGGACAGACTTTACAGAAAACTTCAAGTTTCAGGGTTTTTTTTTACTACAATTTCCCCCCAAAACGTTACTTTGGTTCTACTGACAACATTTGGTCATTGATTTGATGTTGCACTGAATTTACATTCGATCTTATGAAGACGTTGTTAGGTGTTTTATCCAATCAGAATCAGCCACTGACGCTCAGTCACTCGTGAAGAGACACCGACTGCAGAGAATCGTCAAACGTGGTTAGTTTGCCTGAACCTGACAACTGGGTTGATGGATTTAACTGCAGTAAGAGACAAACGTGGTTAGTTTGCCTGAACCTGATGTTGATGGATTTAACTGCAGTAAGAGGAACTGAGCTGGAACGGAACGACTTTTCCCTAAATTGTGCTTAAACGAAGCCTGAGATTTCAAACTTGTTTGGTTAAAAACTCATT